GCCGCCGCCACCGCTCGTCTGCCGCGCCAGTTCGGGGCCGGCGCCGCGCGCAGGTCCCGCGCCCGGCCCTGCGCCGCCGTGCGCGCCGCGCCGCCCGTCCAGCTCCTTCGAGATTAGCTGGTGCATCCTGACTAGCGCGCCGCCGCGGCCGCCGCCGCCGGTGCGTAGGCGCGTCGTGACGCGTTCGAGCAGCGTCGCGAGGTAAGGGGTCGGCATGCTGCTCACATCCGGCAGTCCGGGCAGACCGCCGTCCCCAGACCCCGCCGGCCCACCCAGGCTGCCGGCGGGCCCGAGGCTGCTTGCGCGCCCGAGGCTGCCCGTGCCAGGCGCCGCAAACGCGGGGGGCTGGGGTTGCGGCCCGGCCGGCGGCTGCAGCTGCAGCGGGGCGGCGCCCGTGGGGGCGCCTCCCCACAAGCTCGAGCGGTCGGCCGTGGGGGCCTGGGGATGTGAGTGCTGCTGCAGCCAGTCCTGCTGCTGGTGGTGCCAGGGCTGCTGCTGTTGCTGCTGCTGCTGCTGCTGCTGCTGCTGCTGCTGCTGCTGCTGCTGCTGCTGCTGCTGCTGCTGCTGCTGGCGCAGCTGTGCCTGCTGTTGCTGGAACAGCTGCTGCTGCTGCTGCATGATCAGAACACCCTGCTGCTGGCTTCGCCAATCGAGCGAAGCGGACCGCATGGGTCCACCAAGCTCATCGCCACCACCGCCGTCCATACCAAGCTGCTGCTGCTGCTGCTGCTGCTGCTGCTGCTGCTGCTGCTGCTGCTGCTGCTGGCTGAATGCCAAGCCACCCAGGCTCCCTCCCTCCGCTGCCCCGAGCCTGGCACGGCCCATGTCTGCAGGCCAATCCCCGTCAAAACTGCCCCAGGGGCGGTCATGTATGAGCCCACCCATGTGCTGTTGCTGCTGTTGCTGCTGTTGCTGCTGTTGCTGCTGCTGTTGTGCTGCCATGTCCCAGCTTGCCGCACTGCCAGCCAGCCAGGGAGCCTGGTTGGCAAGCTCGCCTGTGCGGCCACTGGCTAGCTGCTGCTGTTGCTGCAGTTGCCGCAGCTGCTGCTGTTGCTGCTGATGCATCTGTTGCTGCAACAGCAGGTGGTGCTGCCGCTGCTCCTGCTGCTGCTGCAACGTCATTGGTGGATGCTGAGGCGGCGGCCGTTGCTGCTGCTGCAACTGCATCAGCTGCTGCTGGTGCTGTTGTCGGTTGGAAGCGGCCTTGGGGGGCGCAGCCGCTCGCTTCCGCGGTCCCCGGACCCTTACCCTAGGCGCCGCCTGCGAAGCACGAGCACGAGGGCAGCAGGCGCGTGCGTGTGTACCGCAAAATGCGGAGAAACATGCATTGGGTCTGCGTGGCCCCCACCAGGAAAGCCGCGCCTGTTGGGCTCAACATCAGCGCCGCGGCCGGGGCGCGCGTGTGCCTCGAGCCCGCGCGACCGCTGCGCCGAAGACCAGTGGGGGCGGCCTCACCTTGCGCTTCTTGGGTAGGTACCCTTCGGAGCCTGAAGCAGACTCCCAACCTGACTGAGATGACTGCTTGTAGGACGCATCACTCTCGCTGCCCTCCCCGCTCACACGCTTGCGGACCCGCGCCGCCCGCTGCCGCGCCGGGCGCGCACGCGCCGGTGGCGGCGCGCCGGCGGGGGGCGCCTGGTCGGGTGGCGGCCGCTGGTCGCTCGCTGTACTGGGGGGCGCCTGGCGCGGGGGCGAGCCGTCAAAGTAGGCGGCGCCGCCGCTCCCTGTCAACAGCCCGTCCATTGAATGGGAGAGCGCGTACCGCTGACTCGACAGCCCAGCCGCTGCTCACACCACCAGGAGCTGGCTGTCAACGGCAGGCAGCCGGCATGGCACAATGCTGACGGCTGTGATGGAGGGGTGGGGGTAGGGGGTGGGTTGCCTGGCCGCAACTTGACACGCACATCGGAGCGCCCGCTGGGCGCCGAGCGACGTACACGAGTGCCAACGGCGGAGCAGCACTTGAAGCCACCAAACATTGAGATATCGTGACACCAACAACCCCGGCGGCCACCCCGCGAGCGAGGGTCTCGACCGCCCCGGCTTGCCAGTCTGGAGGAGAAACTACTCCGTAGGTCAGGCCATCGCACCTGAGTGTTATAACAATTACTCTACGAGGCTTTCGACGAGCTGAAGCCTCTCAGGAAGGCGACGCGGAAGCTCTGTTCGACTGAAGCTCCGTCCGAAGCTCCGGCTTAGCGTCGACCCGCAAACAAGGCAGAATACATGATTCTAAAAAGACTCAAAAACCCGCCCTTCGCGAGCGTTGATGCGCTGCAGTCGCAGGCCCACGAGCCACACTGTGTGAGATGCGCAGCGGCTTTTGCAGGAATACCGCTACTGTATCACAAAACACTCAAACATAGCATGCTGCCGCGGGTGCCCGAGGCCACCCGATAAGGGCACGCCAGGTCACCCCGGGTGGGGTGGGCGGTGAGAACCTCTGTGGAATAGGCGCAAAATGAGGACGTTCTCATTCAAATGGCGTTGTCGCAGGCTGGGTCGGAGCAAGCGTTGGCCACCCAAAGTGTTTTCCAACCGACCGCGGAGCCGCTTCCCCGTCGCAAGCGCCCACCACAGTCGCTGTGAATCTCGATGAGAGGGGACCCCTTGAAAAGGGCTCGTATCCCACCTCCAACGTCCAGTAGCAGGAACGTACGGCTGAAATTGTGGAAACATAAGGCTGTCATCCGGATCATCCAGACACATGGGGGGCGCGCAGGGTCCAGCACTCAGTCTCTGATGGTCACTGCGGCGCTGCGTCCTCAAAGCAGTTCCGTGTGTGCGCAGAAACGCAGCGCGCCGGTTTCACTGCGGCTGAACAACGCCTGCCCGCCCCACGTATCATAAATAGCTTCGATTAGAAAGCTTTGAGGCTTACACCAGTGGCAGGCGCCGCGCAGCTCGGACGCCTTGGCTCTGGGCACTTATACAGGGAGGTGCGGGACGCCGCACACAAGACGCGGGGCAAAACGACGCAGCGTGAGACTCATCAACGGGTTGGCGCTGTCAGAACTGTGATGGGGCAGCGCGAAGGGGGGAGGCGGCCCGCCCTGCAGCGCTGGGCAGCAGGGGGTTGGAGAGGGGTGGGGGGGTGCGGGTGGGGCAGGGTGCACGCGGGCACGTCTCAGGCCGCCCCCGGCGCGCAGCGGCCCCAGCCATAGAGCATGCAACGGATGGGGATGCGCAGGTGGGCGGGCACTCCGGCGCACTGAATGCAAATCATGTGTTCAGTGCCATGCCGCAGAGACAAGGACCCTGCTGAAGAGGAAGCAGGGACCGCAACATCAGCTCTGCCTTTGAAGCGGCAGGCGACGCCGCAGGCGCTGCGCCTGTGGGAAGCAGGCGCCGCGCCGGCGCGAATGCAGCACTGTGTTGGGGTGCCGCGGCCGCGTTTTTGCCGTGCGGCAGAACATGCAGGTGTAAACGCGCGCAGTGTGTTGTTCCAAAGTGAGGGGCGGGGGGCAGGTGATCGCGGCCCGAGGAAAGGAAGCAGGCTGCACTTGCTGCGCGCGCGTGCCAGGGATCCCACTTCACACCCGCAAAACGGCAGGAACATGGCAGCGTCGCCGCGTAGCGTTTGAAGGGGCGCCACCCAGTGGGCGGTCGGAAATGGTGGTGTCAAGGCTCAGCCCCTGCCTCTCGATCAGGCGCACACGCCGTGCGCGTCATATCAACGGATCAAGGGGGGATGCTTTCGCAGAAGTTCACAGGTGCTTGGGCAGCTGGGCGCACACAATTTTGAGCGAGGTGCGGCCACGGCTTGGCCAGTGGGCAGGTGACCGCCGGCCCCCCCATGAGGCCGGACGCGGCGCCGTTTGCATTGTTCGGAGGTTGTGCGACGTGCCGGCCGCCGCGGCTTACGCGCGAGGAGCGAGGTCAGGCCACTCGCGCATCGGGCGAGGCAGGCACGGGTCGCGATTGGTGCATGGGCAGCGAGGGCAACGCGCACCGCAACTGTTTCAAAAGGTGACGTGTCGTAGAAGGTGCATAGTGCGTCTGGGGACCCGCAGACCAGCGGCCCCGCCGTCCTGTCAAATTAGCAACCAACTCAAGAGCAATCCGCACGTTAAAATGTCGGCCGCAAACACCACGATCAAGGTTTGGGCCAAATCAATCCACAGGCTGGCTGCAAACGTGCGCCTGCCAAGCGCTTCCAGCCACGTATCCGCCCGCCGCACCCTTGCGCAGCCAGCAGCTGCCGCACGGATGAGGCTCTATTGGCCATCGCTCTCAGCGCGTGTTTTCAAAGACCACATGCGGGCCAAGTTTGCCGCTCTGATATGAGGTTGCAGACTCTCAAATGTATGCGACTGACAATGGGCATGCCCCAGCTCGGCACTGCAAATGCCCATGTGGTGCAAATTCAGTGTTGACGTCGGCCATGCGTTGGCCCGTTGTAATGCGGCGGCGTACGTGCGCGCCGTCAAGTCGCCCGTGCAGGTGCAGGGTTGCACGGAAAACGAGGAAGGGGGGCAAGGATTAAAAGCGCATCATCTGACGGTTCCGGATTCAACACCATCCGCCCCCAGCATGCGGTCAGTGCGTGCCAGAGGCTCGCGGTGCCGCCGCTGCAACGGGTGGCGCAACGTCGCTAGGCACGCAATGCTCATTGCCGGCGACCACCAGCCAAGCAACCCCCGCTATCCCTGGAAATCCTGTGTTGAGGATGTGCAGTGTGTATGTGTTGCTGCAGCGCGGGCGCTGCGTTGTGGGTTTTGGCAACAAGTGGGTTTCGGCGTGCGTTGGTGGGTGACAGCAGTGCGTGCGCTTGTGACGCGGTGCTATGCAAATGGGAACGGCGAGGCTGGGTGCTTATCAAGGGCATGCAAACACCCATGCGTGAGCAAGTTTATACTTTGCGCAAAGTGTGTAGAGAAGGAAAGGGTGTGGATGCCACTGGGGTTGAGCCACCTGCCAAACCAGGGCGACTCGGCTACACAAAGCGTGGGTCGAAAGGGCAGCGCGGTGAGCAGGTGGGTGCGCGTGCACTGCCTCATGGGCGTTGACTGGCGGGGTATGGACGATGGCTGTGGGATTTGCCTCGGCTTGGCCCAACGGGTGGCTTGCGTGCACGTGGGGTTGTTTTCATGTGTGTTTTCACTCATTGGAGGTGGGCAGCAAACAGCAGAGAGGTGATCTGGGCCCCCTCAAGGTCCACAAACTGACCCAAATCGCAGCCACCAACGCCGCTGCGCTGCGCGTGCTGGCGCGCCTCGTGCTCCTGCTGGGGGGCATGTGCGCGCGCCTGCTCCGCGCTATCGCCGCCTGCAGGCCAAAGGCTGAACGAGCCGAGCCCAAGCAGTGGCTGGTCCAGCAGCGGCTGAGGCCGCGAGCGAGTGCCGCTGGCGTGGAGCTGGCTGCTGAAATGAGCGCGATGGTGATCGTGGACTTGATCTATGCTGCAGAGTGCGTCGGGCATGGGCGCAGACAGGGAGGGGAGGCTGTCGAGGCATGAGAGCGCCCCGCTTCCCGAGAGGCACAAAGTGCCAGACCCTAGAGAGCACAGGGGCTCGCCCATGGTAGCGTCCAGGGAGCTTGAGCAGCTGTACTGTGCTTGCGGCTGCCCCCAGGTCTGTTGCTGCTGCAAAAAAGGTGAGGTGTCAGCCCCCTGCGCGCTCCAGCGCTGCCAGTCCGCGGCGTGCTGGGCGGACGCCTGCTGCTGCAGCAGCTGCGCCTGCTGCAGCAGCTCCGCGGCTGCTGCGACGCGCGCGCCCGCCTCACCTGACCGCGCTGCGCCGGCGCCGCCTTGCGCAGCTTGCTGCGCGGCGCTCAGGGCGGCGGCGGCTGCGGTCAGAGCGGCCTGCGCGGCCGCAGCGGCGGCGGCGCGGCCGGGCTGAGCCTGCTGCAGAAACGGCTGCTGCACCTGCTGCACCCGCTGCACCTGCTGCACCTGCTGCACCTGCTGCATCTGCTGCATCTGCTGCACCTGCTGCATCTGCTGCGTGTGCTGCGGCGCCACTATGCGGTACATCGTGCACAGCGGCGGCGCCTGGCCAATGAACGAGCCCGATCCCGTTTGCTCGACCACGCGCGGCAGTTTGTCGCTGAATAGTGTCTGTGTCAGACCCCTGCCGCTGTGGGCTGATGCCAGCGCCGCGCCCAGCCCGCAGCCAAGCGCAGCAGGCGCCTGACCCGGGACGTCGCACGAGGCAGAGGCCGGGTGCGGGCCTCGCAGGGGGCGCTCTGCCGCTGCGGCACCGCCCCTGCTTCCCTGGGTCTCCTGCGGCGCCGCCGCCATTGCGCGCGTCGCCGCGGCAGCCGCAGCGGCGGCGGCGCGGGCGGCCTTGTTGCGGCGGGCCTTTGCGCTTGGTGAGCTGCCGGCCAAAGGGATGAACACACCGGTTCCGGTGCCGGGCGACCGGGGCTTGAAGTGCTCCGTGAGCGAGCTGTGCGTGGGCGGGGAGCCAGCGCCCAGGCGCGCAGCGCAGCCGGCGGGCGACGGCCCCGCCAGGGCCTGGTGGGCTTCCGTCCCAGCAGTGACGGCCGTGACACAAGCGTCGCGGCCGCAGCCCGATTTGGTTGCAGAGGGTGTCGCGTTGACGGCCACCGCTGCGGCGCGGGGGTCCCACCCTGCAGTGGCCCATGCTGGCTTTGCAGCTTCCCAACCGTTGAGGGGAGCGGCGGGCCGCCGCACATTAGCCGGCACCTCAGCAACCATATCTGCGCACGGCGTAGCAACCGCAGAGGTATTGAGAGTTGCACATTAGTGTCTGGAGCATCCTGGGACGGCGATCCTGCCTGCATCGCCCGGCCAATGCCGTAGTGACTTGGACAAGGTGTGACAGGCCCAGACTCCAGAAAATCACACCCTAGCCCACGAATGATGCTTGTGAAAGCATGTTAGCGCCCTTACTGCGCACCTGCTCGACTTGCAGACGGCTACGAAGCGAGTAATGGCCGGAGGGCAAACACTTTCAAGTGGCAAGGCCTTGCCTGCACCAACGGGTGCTCCCCTGACCAACAATTACTCAACCAGCACCACGGAGTGTTCTGAGACAAGTTTGACGGTATGAACACCAGCGGACAAGGTCCTACGGTGGCCAAGCTGGTGTTCCTTAGTTCCTGCGCCTTCGTTGGGTGATTGGCAGCGTGTTTTCCTTTCGATTAACACTTGATTAGGTGTTGATTCAGCAATTTCGCATTGAATTGCATGGACAGAGACACGGAACCGTCAATGCCCAAGTTTCGTTTCAATCAAGGGTGTGAAAGTGGTCAGGGAAGCACTCCGACACGAGTGAGGGTGTTGTGAAGTAGCGAGGTATAACGATACTCACAATTAAACCGAAACAAAACACGACTATTCCTCAACGCGCGTGGTTTCGGGAACCCCTGATGGTGTGTGCAATTCACACCCGCACGCCGTGTGAACGGCGACTGTGGCCGCCCTGGCTCGACCGGGTCCTCGGGGCGGGAATTGATTATGTAAGTTGTCGGGGACAGTACTAAAAGCAGCACATAGTCAGTTTGTTTTGCGGTCCAGTCTCATGGTGCGGCGTGTGAGCACTGTCTGGTGGGGCCCCTGGGACCGCTGCGCACCGCGCAGTGAATTGGCAGCATTTGCTTGGCGTTGCATGATCACAGCTTTCAGCTGCTGCACTTCCACCAGCATGCAAGTCTGCTCATCCGCCGTATCGCCGTGTTCCCCGAGGCGGGCTGGTTGAGTGTTCTCTGTAACGTTCGCAGGGGCCAGTGGGGGTGGTGGGCCGGACGCGTTTGACAATTTGACCACCACGATAGATGTGGCAACACCATTGGAAGTTAAAGTTTTAGTATTAAGATCGTATGACGATCACAGCCACAATGCATACACCCCTCCAATGGGCCTGACAAATGGCAAGGGGAGGCCGGGCAAGAGGTGAGATAAGAGCAGGGGTCCTGGATGCGCCCTGCTGTCTCAATCGGCAATCTCACTTGTTTGGGAGTTCTTCAAGCCAAAATTGCCCACAGCTCGCCCAGGCCAGGGCTATCGAGCACACCCACGCGTGTGTAATTGTGCTGTGACGCTTGGCACACCCTTGCTCGCCCTTCGCATGATCGCAGCAGCACGCCTTAGATGTGGGCTCATTTAATCGTCAAGATGCATTGACACTTGAGGATGACTCCAACAAGATTGAGCAGTAAACCGTTGACAGAGTCACATACAGCCCTGTGACTGGGGCATCGGCACTGTGCACCCTGCGCGCCGTTTGCTCGACGCAGCATGAGCCAGGGACTGCGCGTCGAGTGTGGCAACATTTTGGTTCGGCGGTGGGTTGTCTGTTTCATCTACGAATATCTCCGTTCAATTTGAGCGTTTCTCGTACATAAGTACCACAAACACGGCTCTGCGTGCCCGTCATTCACCCCCTGGGCAATCGCGGTCTGGTGCCGTCCCCGTGCTACCCCGGGTGACGTCGGCGCCATGAACAGAAGATCTAATCTCTAGTCACTACAGCGCCATGGGGTGCGGTAGCTCCCGGCCCAAGGCGGACGTGGGCCCTCAGGAGGTTCCTGTCTTGCAGGCACCCTGCGAAGAGCAGCCGTCTTCAGACAATGTGAAGGCTACGTCGAAAGGCTCCTATGTAGAGGTCGAGGCAGGGCCTGCTCAGCCCGTCGAGGATGGCCAGGCGTGGGCTGGGGCCTGGGGTCTCCTGAATCAGACGGAGCTCCAAGCCGTTCAGCAGACACTGCTTAAAGTGAGTATAACTAGACAGTGCGGTACAGCGGCGTGGCCGGCAGCACTCACATGGCTGAGGCGGTCTCGGGCGCCTGATGCGTCTGGGTGTGAAGTACGGCATGCATTTTGAATGCTGGCTGAACGCTTGGTCTTTAAGCAAGGGGCACCCCCTCACATTGTTGCAATCATTGCCAGGTGAGCCAGCTGCTGGGACGCTTCACAGAAGGCAGTGGCGAGCGAGACGCGCCGGTGCACGCGCTGCGAAAGGCTCTGCACCTGATCGCAGCTGACTGCAATGCTTCCTACGCCAGGTGGGGTGTGAACAACTTCTGCAGGGTTCAGCATGGGGGTGATATCAGCACTCGCAGTTCCCTGCCCACAGCACGGTTAGCACGTTGCACCGAGGCAGGCCGGAGGAAGAGGGCGGCGCGCCGTCAGTACGCGCGGCAGCTTTGTGCAACATCGCTGGACGCGGCACGCATAGGCGCACTGGCAGCTGCGCGCGATTCCTCGTGCTGATCCTAGCCTCCCCTTTGTGCTGTCTTGCTGCCGCATGCAGCTTGACGGTGCTGTCTGCGGACCATGCGCACTTCATGACGGTCGGCGCCGTCGGCAGCTGCTCGGCAGCTGTGTCGCTGCCAGTCCTTGCTGCACTGCTGCCCGCAAACTGCAGCAGCCTCGAGCCAGCCTTGAAGGGTGACGTAGGAACTATGCCCATCGGCGGTGCCGGCAGCCGCGACAGCGGCAGCGGCGGGATCGTCAGCTGGCGCGCGCCCGGGGCCGGCGGCGTCCCAGCGGGCGCGCCGCCGCCGGAGGACTGGCGGCCGCTGGCAAAAGCGGGGCTCAGGGCGATCCATGGCGTGTGCATCAGGGGCGGCCTGAAAGAGCAGCTGCTTGGAATGCTCAATGTGGGGTACACAAATCCAGAGGACCAGGAGCTGAAGGTGCGGCGGCGCAGCAGGGCCCAGGGGCGCGCGGGGCAACCGGAACGCAGCGGCCACAGGGGGGGTGGGGGCACAGAAGGGTCCGGTTCCCAAAATCGTATGCGCCATGCAGGCGTGCGGCTGCATGTGGGGGGACACTGCCGGCCCCTTCGCGAGTGCTGTGTGGCTGCGGGAGGCTGCATGAGCCAACTTCCACGCACAGGCCCATGCAGCGTAAGCGCCGCCATGCACCGACCGCGCCCCATCACGCGGCCTGTGGCGCGCATACGCGGAATGCACACACCTGCTCGAGCGCCCCGGCCCCGCATGCATGCATGGACTATGCAGCCCCTCGCTCGCCGCATGGCCCAGGCGCCGCCGCGCGCCCATGCGGGGCCCGCATGCACCGACGGCGCAGCGCCATGCGCCTCCCATGCAGGGTGCCATCTTCCAGACGTATCTGGCGCTTGTGGGCGCCACCGTGTCTGCCGTGGCGAAGGATGCGGCGCTGCAGCACTACCTGGCGTTGTCGCGGGAGCTCCAGGTGCGGCTGATGCTCGGAGCGCCGGCCTCGTCGTGCCCTACGCGGCGTTGCAGCCTGGCCCCGCGCGCGCGGCACTTCCTGGCCCCACCTCCTGTTGGACGGCTTCGGGCGCACGCCGCGCCGGCCCTGCCTGGCAAAGGCACGGCAGCTGAAGGGCGGGGTGCAAGGCCTGGTATCCCGGCGCCATCTTAAGGAAGGCAGGCCAACAGTGGTGAAAGGGCAGTATACGAGCCGCCAGTCGGCCGCCGGGGTATGGGTGTGAAGTTCTCACCGCGTGGTAACGGGATGTCCCCTTTCACAGAGCCCCCTCCTGACCAACCCCTTGGCCCTGACCGCCTGCACCCCCAGGCCGCACAGTCCCTAGACGCCGCCGCGCACTCGGCGCTGCAGCGGAGCCGCGCGGTGCTTAAGGGGCGCGGCCCAGGCGCCGGCGGCGGCGCGGGGGCGCACCTGTGGCTGCGGCTGGCGCTGGTCAGCTCCGACAAGAGCGCGGCGATGCTGTTCGACGACCTCACGCAGGTGGGTTTGAAAGAGAAGGCGTTTCTTCGCTCGGCTCGTTTGGGCAGCGCCTGCGCCGCGACGGCGGAACACCGCACACACACGAGCACGGGCGGCGTTTCAACTTCCGGCGTAGATAGGTGCTGACGCATCGTCTTGTCAAAGGGGCCCAGCCATGCATGCAGGAACCAGTCTGCCCATGCCATGAGGCACAACGCCACGCACTTTGCTCAGCGGCGGAAGACGCTGACGCTTGGCGCCGCGCACACATGCACGCATGCGCGCAGGCTGCGGCGGTGCGCGGCCACCGGCGGCCGGCGGCGACGAACAGCTTTAGCGGCAGCTTCACGCTGGTGCAGCGCATCCAGGCGGCCGGCGGGCTGCTGCGCACAAACATCCCCATGCGCAGCACGATACTGCGGATCGCGCTCACCAACAAGAAGCAGGTGCGCCGGGGGTGGGTGGAGGGGCCTGCGTACCTGAACGCGCAGCGGCAGTCAGCACGCCACCTTGCAGCACAATAGGCGCTCAACCTTTCGACAGCCAGCTGTGATGCAAGCCTTTGGTGGACAGCAGTCCAAGGGGCATCCATTTGCCAGGCCTAGAACCAGCGCGCAGAGCCTCAGTACGGCTGTGCTTTTTGCTGTCAAAGCCTTGGCGTGGCAAGGATCGGAGTCGGGGAGGACTCACGCTCAAAGCACACACCAGCGCATCTGCTCCCCCGCCTCAACCGGCTCGCCGCCCTCATACCTGTCGCGATTTGGGTTTGAATTCGCGCGCCGCCAGGTGCTGATTCCCGACGTCCAGAAGCTGATCAACCAGCTGGGCGCCGTCAACACTGACCTCTTCGCCAGCCGCCACGTGCGGCCACCCACCAGCGTGCTGCTGCTGCCGCTGCGCGCGAGCGGGCACGGCATATATGGGGGCATCTACTGCCTCAGCGACGTGCAGGTGCGGGGGAGCTTGGGGCCGGGAGTGGCTGGTGATGCGGCTGGGTGGCTCCTTGCTGCTGGCCGAGGTTCTTAATGCACGTACCTGGCCGCCGTGGCGCAGGCGACTGCATCCACAAGATACACACGTGTGCACGTCTGTGCGCGCTCTCGCGCTCAACACACATGCACACGAGGGCGCGCACACACACACCCACACACACTCTCTCTCCTTGTGTCCCTCTCTATTTTCTTTTCTCTCTTTCCCTTGCACAATCACACATCAACGCATCCACCCTCACGCGCACATGCAACCACCCAGACCGAGTTCACCGACATCACAGCCCACCTGAAGGAAGTCGCCGATCTGGTGGGCAGCAGCCTCTTCCGCTGCCTCTCCGGAGACTTGAAGGCCGAGTACGAGGTGGGCGGGGCGGATGCAAAGGAGCAAGCCGAGCCCGGTGCCCGCGGCGGCGGCAACGGCGGGGGCGCTCGTCAGCCCCCGCGCGGGCGCCGGCCGCCGTCTTGCCCGTTGGCGTGGCTCAGTGCGACGCGGCGGGTGGCTGGCCTGCCCTTCGTTTGCTTCATCGTGCCGAGCAGGCCCGCTGACGGGCCTTGGATTGCATCACTTTATCGCCTGTCCGGCGCACAGGACGTACTGGCGCTGACAGCGGATGCGATCCTGTCGCCAGACGCGCTCGACGGCTCTGGCCATGCTGCGGATGGAGCGGCCGCGTCGCCGCGCGGGGCGCCAACCCCTCCAAGCAAGGACTCTTGTGGCGCGGCGGCTGGTGCGCTTCTCTTCCAGGGTGTGGGCCTGCGCCACTGCTTGGTGCCTCGCGCTCCTGGGTGCTTGCTCAACACTCCTAGAGACGAGGAGCGCGGGCCTCCCCTTACCACCCCGGGCGACCGTCCGATCGCTTGCTGCCTGCCCCCAACGCAGGCGCCCTCAACAGCAGTGGCGGCAGGACGCCCCGGGTCAGCGGCGGGGCCTCCGCGCCCGCCGCCCGCGGCGGCGGGAGCGGCTTCTCCACAGGCCCTGGGCGCGACTGCGTCGGCGGCGGCGGCGGCGCCACCGCGGATGCCTACGAGCTGGGCAGCACAGTCAGCACCACGGGCGGCAGCGTGGTATCTGCCGGCTGCGGCAGCTTCTCAGGTGAGTCCGCGCACGCGTGCATGAGCTTGGGGGGCTGCCTTTGGGTGCAGCGACGGAAGCGCGGCCTCCCAACTGAGCGTGCCCGGCGGCCGTCTCCGACGGACCATGCCACGCTGCTTATGTCCGATTCCGCCTTCAGCTCGCTTTTTGAGGTCTTGCTGCGTTGCTCCGCATCCCCCCCTCCCCTTGCTGCTCGCCGCCAGCCCCGGCAAACACTGCAGGGCGGAGCTTTGTCGCGCGCCAGGGCGCCAGCAGCACGGGCGCGCTGGTGACGGGCATTACTGAGAAGCTGAACCAGCGGCGGCTGGAGGCGGCGATGCAGGACACAGAGGTGGGTGTGTTAGTGTTGTGTGTGTGTATGCGCGCACGTGTGTGTGTGCGTGTGTGTGTGCAAGCGTGTGTGTGTGAGTGTGTGTGTGTGTGTGTGTGTGTGTGTGTGTGTGTGTGTGTGTGTGCGCGCGGATGAGTGTAAGTGTGGTGTGTGCCTCGTGGGGGTGATGTTGGTTGCGCAGGATTACCAAGGGTAGGGCACTCGCGAGCACACCGCTCCGGCAGGGGGATCGGCCAGCCACGCACGAGAGGTCCGGCCCACAGGCAACCGAGACACCTAGCAGCCCCGCCCCGGCGCGCCGCACGCGCGCCACACGGCCGCCCCTGGCTCATGACCCCCGTCCCTCCCCCCCATCTGGCACATAACCCTGAATCCTAAACTCTTGAACAGGGGGGAGACCTCCGGGACCTCCAGCTCACCGCCCAGATCGGCGAGGGCGGCTTTGCGCGCGTGTTCCGCGGCCTGTGGCGCGGCCAGGTCGTGGCCGTCAAGGTTGTCGCGTCAGGGGGCCCCGGCAACGAGCGCAGCGTGATGAAGAACGCGCACGAGATAGCCATCCTTTCGGCCCTCAGCCACCCGAATATACTGCAGGTGCGCGCGGCCGGGGGGCGCGCGCGGACGGCCGCGTGGGGGCCTGCTGGCTGTCAACCCGTTCGGCTGGCTCCTGCCTAGTCCGCTTGCAACCCCAAAACAGCAAACCGCTCCCACGACGGGCAGACCCGGCCCGCGTGAGAACTCCCGCCGCTGACCCACGCTGCGCCGCGCCCCTGCCAGGCTTACACGTGCCTCACCGACATGCGCGTGCGCGACGTCATCGCGTCGTGCGTGCGGCACCCGAGCGAGGCGGCGCGCGCCGAGCTCGAGGCGTGCCTGACGGCGGGTGGGTCCAACAGCTGCGGCGCGGAGCAGGACGCAAACTGCCATATCGAGGTGCGTGTGCACGCGCCGGCCGCGCCGCAACTTGGCGCAACGTTGGGGGCGGCCAGGGCGGGCGGGCCGATTGGCGCCCGCTGCCACCGTTCCGCGGGCGCCTCGGCCGGCGGCAGGAGCTTTCCTGCCCCTAAGGCGCTTGGCCGCGTGGCCGCCGCGGGCCCGCGCATGAATTGGAACCTGGACAAGCATGCCGCCTTCTTACGTGTGCCCCTCCGCCTTCCGCCCCTCGCCCCTCAACCCCCCCACCCCAGGTCGTCGAGTACTGCGACCTCGGAAACCTCACACACGCCATCCGCAACAACGCGTTCCGCCTGCCGCCCGCCGCCGATTTCGAGTGCGCCTCCATTGACGCACTCCCCGGCCTCTCCCCGCACAACCGCGCACCCACGCCCGCCGCCGCCGCCGCCGCGGGCTGCCCGCAGCCGCCCCCGGCGCTTGAAGCGCCGGCAGAGCTGCACAGCCCCGGGCACGGCGCGCGGCCGGAAGGCAGGGAGGCGCGAGACCGCGAGCGGGAGCAGCGGGAGGCGCAGGAGGCGCTGAGGGTGAACCTCACGACGCTGCTGCTGACGCTGCTGGAGGTGGCTGGCGGCATGGCCTACCTCCACCGCATGGGGGTGGTGCACTGCGACCTCAAGCCTGCCAACGTGCTGCTGAAGAGCTCGAGCGTGGACAGGCGGGGGTTCACGGCAAAGATCTCCGATTTTGGGCTGTCGAGGTGCGGGATCTCAGATCTGCCCCGCCCCCCTCGTGGCGCTCAGAGGATTATTGTGCGGGGCGCCGCCGGCTGCGGGCGGCGCAGGGGGCGCGTGGCCAGGCAGGGGCTAGCAGGGGGTTGAGTGGATGGCATGAAGTGCGGCGCGGGCGAGTTGCACGACTGGGGTAGACACCGGCGGGGCAGTGCGTGCCTGGCGCAACACACGGGGGGGCGTCTCAAAAGCCGACAGCGCGCGCGTCTGCGCCCCGCCCCCTTCGGACTCGCCGCCGCAGGGTGGAGGACGACGACTCGTGCGCCACGTTCCCTTTCAACAGCTGCGGCACGGCCGCGTACGTCGCACCAGAGGCCCTTGTCACGAGCAAGAAGGTGCGCCTGCTTGTTTCAACGCGTGGCGCTTGACGCGCATGTACGTGCGCACCCTCAATCTCCGCCGAATGCATCATGGCGGACGAGCGGCGCCCGTGCATGGCAAGGGCGGCATGGTCACGGCGCGGCGCGGTCGGTCAAAACCCGGTCAAACACGTGCGTCTCGTGCCCGCTTCGACGCTGCAGGTCAACTCCAGCGTGGACGTGTACGCGTTCGGCATCATCATGTGGGAGCTGCTGACCGGGCAGCGCCCCTACGGCAACATGCAGCAACAACAGGCGAGCGCCGCCGCCACAGACACGGCCAGCGTCGGCAAACAGGCCCCTTGGCGTAACGGGCCGCGCCGCACGCGCGCACACAGAGACACACACACACACACACACACACACACACACACACACACACACACACACACACACACACAAATACCCACTCAATGAGGAACGCCCACGATTGTCAGGCAAAACCCTCTCTCACTATGCAACCGTCCACACCCCAGGTGGTGGAGGAGGTCGTGCTGCGGGGCCTGCGCCCAACCTTCCCAGCCGGCACCCCGCCTGCCTTTGAGGCCCTCGCGTCCTCCTGTTGGTCCGCGACCCCCAGCCAGCGGCCGCCCTTCCCCCAGGTCACCGCCGCGCTGCACTCGATGCTGTCCGCCGCGGAGGAGGCGGAGGCCGAGGCGGCCACCAACTGGACTACGATGAGCTGCAACCTCGTGGTGCACGACTGGAGCCTGAGCACGTGCTTCGGCGCGGGCTCCCTGCCCGGCGCCGGCTCGCTCGGGCTGCCGCCGGCGCCGGCGCCGGCACCGTCCGCGCGCGCGGGCGGGCGGCAGCGGCTGAGCCTGGACGGGCGCCCCGCGGCCGCGGCGGGCGGCGGGTG